ATGGGAAACAAAGAAATATTTAGAGAAAAATACAGGTTTAAGTACACTTATCAAGAAGCAAGAAACGTTTTTAAAATGACTGTGATTTAAACTAGGAAGCTAGAAAAGGAGCAAGGAGCAAGAGAGCAAACAGAGGACGCAAGAAAATCATGAAGACTAAGTCAGAAATCAATGAGAGAAGCAAAACAACAGAGAATTTTAACAAAACCAAATTCTGATTTCCCTCCAAAAAATTCTATGTCCAGTAGTTCTTACAGAATTCTACCAAATTAAAGGAAGAGTTTAAAGCCCATTTCTTTTTTTGCAAATACCTCAGAAAATAGAAGACAACAAAATCTATGTAGCTCATTTTAGAAAGCTAGTGTTATCTTGAATCTAAAATAGTAGATGAGTCTATTAGCTCATTTCAATTACGATCAAATGTAAAAATCTTAAATATAATATCAAACTCCTACACTGTATTTCAAATGTATATATGTATAATATGAAAGGATCTTTCAATCTGAAAAGTCTTTAAAGGTAATCTACATTAGCAGACTAAAGAAACCAAACCATGTTATTATCTTAGTCAATGATACAGTATTAAGTTCAATACCTATTTATTATGAAAATACCTAGAAAGCAAGGAATAGATAGGAACTTGCTTAATTTAGTGATAGTTAAACACCAGTTCTAGAGCATTACACTTAATGGAGGAATTTTAGATGCATTTTCTTTATGATTCAGAATTCCCATTATTTAACACAGTACTGGAGGCCCTGGACTATACTATGAAGGTAAGAAAAAACGGACAGTTGTAGAACATGGTAGGGAAGAGACACAACTTGATATTTTTCTAATGACATCAATATCTATTTAGGAAAACCAGAGAAATAAAAAAGATAAACTATGAGAATTAATGAGAGTTCATCAGTACTGCTAATAATATTCACCTGCATTTTTCCACTTCAGTGGTAACCAGTGAGAACAGAGGAAATATGGTATCTATCAATATAGCAATATAGTATGTGTACGTGTCTGCATTCTAGGAACTAGCTTAGAATACATAAGATCTCTATGGAGACATATTTTTTAAATTCTAATACATGATCCAAAAAATGAGCTTTTTGTTTGTTTGTTTTAATGAGAGATAAACTATGCTCATGGATGGGAAGACCTTACTGTTTAAAAAACTGAAGTCATAATTAAAAACATGTCTACTTTAGAAATCCCAGCTCAGAATGGCTTCATTTGGAATTCTACTAAATATTTAAATAAAAAGTGACATCTAATTTATATAATATCTTGAGAATGAGAGAAAAAGACTTAACCCAAGAAGTTCTATAATTTCAGCATAACACAAAAACCTCAGTAGGATGTTATAAGAAATAAAATTTATAAACCAATTTCATACCCTAAAAGAAATATAAAAGTTCTTTAAAACTAATAAACTAAATTCAGTGATATATCACCAAATTGATTTTATTCTACAAATAAATGGCTTAACATTCAAAAAACATCAATGTAAAAAACATATTATCACCACAAAAGTTATAGAAAAATATTTGATAAACATACATTCATGACTTTTTAAAAAACTGGTAAAAAACTAGAAACTTCTTTAAACTAAAACAAACTTATATTTAATGATAAATTATTAAAACTTTCTCTCTATGGTTGTGAGTGGGACAAGGAGGTCCTTTATCATTACTCTTATTCAATATTATACTAGAAGCACTAGCTAGTACTTCAACTGAAGGAAAATAAAGTACAATCATTGGAAAGAAGAAATAAGATTCAATCAATATACACAGAAAACTTAAATGTGTATATAACAAATCTAAAATAATCTAAAGATATATTCTTAGAATTCAACAAACACAACAAAGAAAAAATGAAAACGTCAAAAGATACCACTTATAATGGAATTTAAAAACTCAAATAACTGGGCTTCCCTGGTGGTGCAGTGGTTGAGAGTCCGCCTGCCAATGCAGGGGACACGGGCTCGTGCCCCGGTCTGGGAGGATCCCACATGCCGCAGAGCAGCTGGGCCCATGAGCCATGGACGCTGAGCCTGCGCGTCTGGAGCCTGTGCTCCGCAACGGGAGAGGCTACAACAGTGAGAGGCCCAAGTACCACAAAAAAAAAAAAAAAAAAATCAAATAACTAAGAATAAATCTGAAATAGAAATGTAAGAACTCCACAAATAAAAATTATAAAATGTTATTGACAGAAGTGAAAAGAGGTCTATTCATATAACTAGACAGATATACTAGGTTCGTGGATCAGAAGAATTCATTTAAAATGATGTGAATTCTCTCTAAACCAATGCACTGCTAATAACAAATGGGAGAACCAATTTTACAGTAGTAGTTCTCAAATTTGGTTGCATTTTTAATCATCAGGGAGATTTTTTAAAAGCCCAATGCTTATCACTTACATAATTAAATATTTGTCTTTTGAGAAGACAGCCAGGCTCTGAAAGTTGCTAAGAAAGTAAATCTTAGACGTCCCCATCACAAGAAAAAAATTGTAATTACATGTGGTAACAAATGTTAACTAGACTTACTGTGGTGATCATTTTGCTATACATACAAATATTGAATCATTATTTTGTATACCTGAAACTAATACAATGCTATATCTAAATTAAATCTCAATTATTTTAAAAAGACTGATAATATCAAAGGTTGTCAAAAATATGGGTTAATTCGAGCTCTCATATTCTGCTGGTAGGAATGTAAAGTGGTATAACTATTAGTACTTAGGAAGCTTGTTTTCAATTACCTACCCAGGCTGAACATATACACACTGTGTGATGTGGCAATTCCTCTCATTTATACACCCAGTTGAATGCTATACACATGTGAACAAACATGTACAAGAATGTACATGACAACATTACTATTGACATCTCCAACTGGAAATAATCCAAATGTCCATTAGTAGTGGAATGGATAAATAAATTGTGATATATTCATCCAACGGAATATTATACACACTGGAATAAATAAACTAATAGAAGAGCATGGATTAATCTTACAAAGATAATGTTGAACAGATATGCCAAACTTAAAAAGATACATATTATAATTTTCCATTAATATAAAGTTCATAAATGGGCAAAATTCATGATAATGGTTACTTTTGGGGAGGAATGTGGATAATGATTGAGAAAGGGTGTAAGATGGAACTTCCAGAATACTTGTAATTTTCTATTTCTTGACCATGATGGTGGTTACATGAATGTACTTAATTTGTGAAAATTCATCAAGGTGTATGCTTCTTTCTCTTAATTGAGGTATAACATAATAGTAAAGTATTAAAAGATGAAGATAGTCTGAACACGTGGAGAGTCTATGTTCTTTTGTAAGACTTAGTGTAAGACTCAATTCTTCCTAAGTTAATCTATAAAATCAATATAATCCAATACAAATTTCAGTTGGATTTTTAAAGTAATCAGTTGATTTATTTAAAGACATGTTTGAAAGGTCTATGAATAGCTACATCAACTTAGAATAAAGGAGTAAAAACAAGAGATTGGTTTATACATGAACTATTATTCTAGAGCCATAGTTACAAAAATAATGCTTCAACACAATTGAGAAAATACAGACTAATGACATAGAAGAGATATTTCAGAGACAGAAGAACCCAGATGTGAGCATAATTTTAAGACAGCAACACAAATCAAAGGGGAAAGGATAACTAGCTTAGTAAATGGTGCTGGGAAATTGTGGTTACTATACGGAAAAAAGCTAAAATTGGATTCCTCTCCCCTTCATGGCATAGTTTAAAAATTAAATGTGAAATATAAAACTGTAAAGTTGATATAAAATAACATAGGAAAATATCTTTGTAAACCGAACATGAAGAAGAACTTTCTTATGAGAAACCTCAAAAGCACAAAAAATGAGACAATAAAATGACTTGGGGCCAGCTTAAGAACAAAGATACATTTCATGATATTATATATATGGAAAAATATGGTCTGATTCAAAATAATCAATTTACAAATGAATTAAACAAAACCGTCTATATAAAACTGAAGGCTGCCTGCACCAATTCATTGCCTACAGGTGTGTGTATGTGTGCTTTTGTGTGTGTGTGTGTGTGTGTGAACTGGGTCTGACATTTGTCAAGCTCTGTTTTATTTCATAATATAATACCTAAAAAATTATTTTGTCTATAAAAGGGAAAGATTTGCCTACCAAAAATTCTTCATCTTCCCAGTAGTTTGTCTGTATTTAACTCTACTACTGCCTCAATTCTATGACTCTGGGAACCAAAAATGCATATTTGCCCAGAAAATGACTCTGTCTTACATGTATTCAAACCACTGCTTAAAGATTCTACGGTATGTGTTGTATGTGTTGTAGGTCTTAATGCTCTTTTACTGAATTAATACAGTAAGTTACACCAAAGCACACTAACTTATTCAATAATCTTATCTGAACTCTGACTTTAGAACTCTGCCATAGACTCTTTAAAAATTATCTTGTAATTAGTAAACATTAACTTCTATACCTTCAAATAAGAATGCCATTATTTAAGAAATTGGAAGTTAGGCCACTGCAGAGTGAGAGAAGCGCTGATACAAGCAACTTTTAGAAGTGGTTAAGAGTTTGGTGAATTTTTCTTTCTAAATGCTGTGCTTTTAATAGTTGCTTTTTTTAAACTGTATTTTATATTCTAGAAACATAGATATGGAAAACTTAACTTTTCACTCGAGTTACAACCAATTTCAAAGAAAAGGCAGAAATAATTCATCATTCGTGTTGAACTATTTGAAGGCCAAGAAGCTTCACTCAATTCCTAGTCCCTACCCACCCCCCAGAGTCCTATCTCATTTCTCCCTTCTCCAATACTATTGGGTCTCGACCATTCCTCAGTTAATTACTTTCTCTGATGACCACCTTTCCTCTAACAGAATTCATATATTCTGTTAAAATTTTCCACTAAAATTCCCCAGAGTATATACCTTATGAGCACTTTCTAGCCAGAGATGGGAAGGTGCTTACCTTCAAAATAGAAGCCTGACTGGACTTCTAGGACCCTGGGGAGGGTCCTGAGGTCAAGGGAGTGGATGAATTCTTCCAGCGACAATGCCATTGCTTTGGCTTGGGTCTTGCGCAGACCTGGTACTTATAGAAGCTTTTGGCTTCTGGGTGTCACTTGTCTGCAACTGTAGTCTCACTTCATCATTCCTTTCTCAGGCAGGAATGTCACACTGGAGCCCGACTTGGGTGGAGTAGCTCTGTGTGGGGAGGGCAGTGAGGAGGCAGGGGACAAAAGGTGTTACAGCTCTTTTTAGTTCTCATTGTGGCTTCATTTCCTTCTGACACTGAAGTAGAACAGGATGGGGGTGTGGTGAGCATATCTGAACAGACACTGCCAAAAAAGCGAGAATTGACAAGTAGCTCTCTTTGTCTGTCTCTGGTCCAGGTGTGCATCTCAAGCAGGGGCTAGGATGTTTGAGGTCACAGTTGCTTGTGGTCTGTCAACCAGGCAAGAACAGGAATTCAGGACTAAAGTCTAATCTTAAAAAGGGCACCGTATTAATTCTTTATCTCTTCACTTCACTTCTAAAGTTTGGCTCTGTGCTTTATTTGCATACTCTCAGGGCTTTTACATTAAATTTGGTTACGAAAGTGCTTTGTGTCAGCTCTTTTCAGAAATCTGATACTCTGAAGAGAGGGGATCGAAACCACTTTTATTCTTCCACATTAAAACTGAATATTAAAGGAGAGTGGGGGAGGAGTGCACTATGCAAAGTCATACAGTAAATTAATATTAATTTTCTAATCGTCGCACTACAGTGAAAGTATCTAAATCCGTTATTAGGAAACCTGAATTTTCTGGGTTTAGCTCTGCTTTTGACTTACAGGTGACATCAGCCTTGTCTTCTCTGTCCCTCATTTGTCTCATTTATTTAATGGAGAAAAAGTTAGAGTCAAATAAGTTGTATCATTTCTTCCAAGGCCAAAATTCTACAATTCTGATCATGAGGTCCAAATCTGCAGTGGGGAGGGGTGAGGATGACCAAAGTCAAAGGCAGAAAGAAAAGCCTCATAAAAATAAATCTCTTAAAAATCTTCCACTCTCTAGTCTTTGTATTTAAATAAGACAATATTTTAGAGCTAGAGTATACAGTTCAAGGTGATATTTTTAAAGTCTCTTTAAGGGTGACTAAAAGAACACTGGTTGGTATAAATACAGTGAAAGAAGCTAAGAAGCTGCATATTCTCCTTATAAATTGGACTCCAGGCTCCCTGTCTAGAAACTGTTTTAGCCTTAGGCTGCAAAGAGCATACATAGCCAGGTAGAGAGGGTCAGGGCACATCCCAGCTCCACCTTCACGTAAATATCTAAGAAAATAAACAGCACTGCCTTATTTTGATATAGAGCTTATAAAACTCTTTCAGCTCTTAAAATCATATTTGATACTTGCAATAATCTGCCTGGCTTCATTTCTTTCTTTACAAAACTAAAATTTATAAGGCCACATCAATAGTTTTTTCACCAGTAGCTTCTACTTCCTCATTTGCAACTTTTTTGCTCAAAAACCTCCTAAACTTGATCAGTCTGCCTTCTGCAGCCCTTCTCCCAAGCTTAGGCCCTTCAATCGACTACAAAAATTGTTTACAGCCTAACTGTATCTCACATGGTTCAATATATGAAAAGAGCTGCTATGGACTGCTCCTTAAAAATCGTACATCTGTTAGAACTGGTACCACAGCAAATTTCATTTGATATCTAAACCAAACTGGACTTCACTTGATTTTTAAAATATTTTCCCACATCAACTTTCTACCTTACTAGTCAAAGAAGCTATTTCAAAATATTACCAATCTTTTACAATTGTCTTTGCTACTCCTGCTTTTGCTCTTTCAACAAATGATCTTCCCTTTCTGTTACATTCTGCTTCTTTCTTTCTCTCAATCTTAGTTAACGACACTACAATTCTCTCACTTTCTCAAGCCAGAAGGCTGCATCAGGGGAGATGCTATATCCAGCCTCCAAACCCCTCAAGCACTACAGGTGGCAATAATCAATAACACTCACTTTGTTCTTGCTCTGTATCTCCACTATTACTACTTTAGTTTGGATCATAATCACTTCTGACACTGTAGGCAAAGAAATCCTTACATGAACAGCCAAGATGAATTTGACAAATAAGAATAATAAGAGAGTCCCTGAACAACCAAGTAGTAAAATCAATTATTAAAGTTTAATAACTGAAACAGCAGATTACCGGAGTAATAATAGTCTGATCAATGAGAATTCAGAAATAAAGCAAAGCATTGCCAACTAAAGACGGTCCCTCACCACCCAGTTTTACAAGAACTGAGTCATTAGCCACTGCAGTTGCTGGTCTTCAACACATCCTGAAAGGAGTTCAGCACAGAGATCAGGAATGAGGCAGTCGGTGCTGCAGGAAAACTGGCAGAACAGGCCTTCAGATAGTTAGATATTCTCAGGAGAAAATTTTAAGAACTCATTTTGTTGCATCTTCCCATTCATAGAAGAGTACTAAAATCATTAACTGAAATATCTGTTCCTCATGACTAGCAGCAATCTTCCACTGAGCTGTGTGCTTGATTGCATGTATGCCTTCCCCAGAATTACATATATGCTAACCTCCCACCCCACCCCTTCTGAGAAGTTCCTCAGAGCTATCTGAGAGGCTGTCTCCTGGGCTATAGTCCTCAATAAGTCCTCAAATAAAACTGAAACTCACAGCTCTCATGTTTTGCATTTTTATTTCGATCAACAGTATAGGTAATAATTTACTATATGAAAAAGATGGAATTTCAAAGCACTAGGGAAAAATATTTCATCCAACAAATAGTGGTTAAATAATTTTTAAAATAAGTTTCCCAAAATTCTATGCAACAAAATTAAATTTATATCAATTGAAAAATTAAATATAAGTAAAAATAAACCAAAGGAAAAAATAGAAAAATATCTGGAGAAGTAAGGAAAGAACTATTTCTTAGCATCAATGGAAGTCTTAAGGGAAAAGACTAATAAATTTGACAACAGACATATGAAATATTTCTATAAATTAAAAATGAGCTTTAACAAAACAGAAAAAATACTTTAAATAAAAAGTTAATGTCCTGGATCTACAAAGATCACTTATTATTTACGCAAAATAAAAATATTTAAGGACTTCTGCTTCTGGCTATGAGCTTGGATTTGACCAACTCTTCCACCAAGGACAACTTGAGAAGTGGATAATTTTTTTAAACCAGTTTTAAAGAACAAGAGAGCCATCAGGGCAGTCAGGACTTGAGAGTCAAGACCTTGAAAGGCAAGGAAACACAAGGTGAGGGGATTCCAATATTCTACACTTCTTTTCCCCTCAAGGCATTTGTGGATTAGTAGTTGGCACCAAGAGAGAAGCTGAGAAGCAAAGCAAAAAGTGGTAGTAAAGAGATTGGTTCAAGATGGTGGAAGAGAAGGACGTGTGCTCACTCCCTCTTGCGAGAGCACTGGAATCACAACTAACTGCTGAACAATCATCAACAGGAAGACACTGGAACTCACCAAAAAAGATACCCGGCATCCAAAGACAAAAGAGAAGCGCAATGAGATGGTAGGAGGGGCATAATCACAATAAAATCAAATCCCATAACTGCTGGGTGGGTGACTCACAGACTGGAGAACAATTATACCACAGAAGTCTGCCCACCGGAGTGAAGGTTCTGAGCCCCACATCAGGCTTCCCAACCTGGGGGTCTGGCAACAGGAGGAGGAATTCCCAGAAAATCAGACTTTGAAGGCTAGCGGGATTTAATTGCAGGACTTCGACAGGACTGGGGGAAACAGAGAATCCACTCTGGAAGGGCACACACAAAGTAGTGTGTGCACCAAGACCCAGGAGGAAGGAGCAATGACTCCATAGGAGACTGAACCAGGCCTACCTGCTACTGTTGGAGGGTCTCCTGCAGAGGAGGGGGGTGGCTGTGGCTCACCACGGGGACAAGGACACTGGCAGCAGAAGTTCTGGGAAGTACTCCTTGGCGTGAGCCCTCCCAGAGTACGCCATTAGCCCTACCAAAGAGCCTGAGCCTCCAGGGCTGGGTTGCCTCAGGCCAACCAACCAACAGGGAGGGAACTCAGCCCCACCCATCAGCAGACAAGCAGATTAAAGTTTTACTGAGCTCTGCCCACCAGAGCAACACCCAGATCTACCCACCACTAGTCCCTCCCATCAGGAAGCTTGCACAAGCCTCTTAGATAGCCTCATCCACCAGAGGGCAGACAGCAGAAGCAAGAAGAACTCCAATCCTGCAGGCTGTGGAATGAAAATCACATTCACAGAAAGATAGACAAAAGGAAAAGGCACAGGACTATGTACTAGATGAAGGAACAAGATAAAACCCCAGAAAAACAACTAAATGAAGTGGAGACAGGCAAACTTCCAGAAAAAGAATTCAGAATAATGATAGTGAAGATGATCCAGGACCTCGGAAAAAGAATGGACATAAAGATCAAGAAGATGCAAGAAATGGTTAACAAAGACATAGAAGAATTAAAGAGCAAACACCTAGAAGAATTAAAGAACAAACAAACAGAGATGAACAAAACAATAACTGAAATGAAAAACACACTACAAGGAATCAATAGCAGAATAACTGAAGCAGAAGAACGGATAAGTGACCTGGAAGACAGAATGGTGGAAATCACTGCCATGGAACAGAATAAAGAAAAAAGAATGAAAAGAAATGAAGATAATCTCAACCTCTGGGACAACATTAAACCCACCAACATTTGCATTATAGGGGTACCAGAAGGAGAAGAGAGAGAGAAAGGACCTGAGAAAACACTGGAAGAGATTTGAGTCAAAAACTCCCCTAACAAGGGAAAGGAAATTGCCACCCAAGTCCAGGAAGCACAGACAGTCCCAGGCAGGATAAACCCAAGGAGAAACACACCGAGACCCATAGCAATCAAATTGACAAAAATTAAAGGCAGAGAAAAATTATTAAAAGCAGCAAGGGAAAAACGACAAATAACCTACAAGGGAACTCCCAGAAGGTTAACAGATGATTTCTCAGCAGAAACTCTACAAGCCAGAAGGCAGTGGCACAATATATTTAAAGTGATGAAAGGGAAGAACCTACAACCAAGATAACTCTACCTGGCAAGGATCTCCTTCAGATTTGATGGAGAAATCAAAAGCTCTACAGACAAGCAAAAGCTAAGAAAATTCAGCACCACCAAACCAGCTCTACAACAAATGCTACAGGAACTTCTCTAAGTGGGAACCACACAAGAAGAAAAGGAACTACAAAAACAAACCCAAAACAATTAAGGAAATGGTAATAGGAACATACATATCGTTAATTATCTTAAATGTGAATGGATTAAATGCTCCAACCAAAAGACACAGGCTCACTGAATGGATACAAAAACAAGACCCATATATATGCTGTCTACAAGAGACCCACTTCAGACCTAGGGACACATACAGACTGAAAGTGAGGGGAGGAAAAAGATTTTCCATGAAAATGGAAATCAAAAGAAACCTGGAGTAGCAATACTCATATCAGATAAAGTAGACTTTAAAATAAAGAATGTTACAAGAGACAAGGAAGGAAACTATATAATGACCAAGGGATCAATTCAAGAAGAAGATATAACAATTATAAATATATATGCAGCCAACATATGAGCACTTCAATACATAAGGCAAATGCGAACAGCTGTAAAAGAGGTAATCGATGGCAAAACAATAATAGTGGGTGACTTTAACACCTCACTTACACCAATGGACAGATCACCCAGACAGAAAATTAATAAGGAAACACAAGCTTTAAATGACACAATAGATCAGATAGCTTTAATTGATATTTATAGGACATTCCATCCAAAAACAGCAGATTACACTTTTTTCTCATGTGCACGTGAAACGTTCTCCAGGATAGATCACATCTTGGGTCACAAATCAAGCCTTGGTAAATTTAAGAAAACTGAAATCATATCAAGCATCTTTCCCAACCACAACAGTTTCAGATTAGAAATAAATTACAGGGAAAAAAACGTAAAAAACACAAACACATGGAGGTTAAACAATACGTTACTGAATAACCAACAGATCACTGAAGAAATCAAAGAGGAAATCAAAAAATACCTAGAGACAAATGACAATGAAAACACAATGATCCAAAACCTATGGGATGCAGCAAACGCAGTTCTAAGAGGGAAGTTTATAGCAATACAGTCCTACCTCAAGAAACAAGAAAAATCTCAAATAAACAATCTAACCTTACACCTAAAGGAACTAGAGAAAGAAGAAAAAACAAAACCCAAAGTTAGTAGAAGGGAAGAAATCATAAAGATCAGAGCAGAAATAAATGAAATAGAAACAAAGAAAACAATAGCAAAGATCAATAAAACTAAAAGCTGTTTCTTTGAGAAGATAAACAAAATTGATAAACCATTTGTCAGACTCATCAAGAAAAAGAGGGAGAGGACTCAAATCAATAAAATTAGAAATGAAAAAGGAGAAGTTTCAAGAGACACCACTGAAATACAAAGCATCATAAGAGACTACTACAAGCAACTCTATGCCAATAAAATGGACAACCTGGAAGAAATGGACAAATTCTTAGAAAATCACAACCTTCTGAGACTGAATCAGGAAGAAATAGAAAACATGAACAGACCAATCACAAGTAATGAAATTGAAACTGTGATTAAAAATCTTCCAACAAACAAAGTACAGGATCAGATGGCTTCACAGGTGAATTCTATCAAACATTTAGAGAAGCGCTAATACCCATCCTTCTCAAACTCTTCCAAAAACTTGCAGAGGGAGGAACACTCCCAAACTCATTCTATGAGGCCACCATCACCCTGATACCAAAACCAAACAAAGATACTACAAAAAAAGAAAATTACAGACCAATATCACTGATGAATATAGATGCAAAAATCCTCAACAAAATACTAGCAAACAGAATCCAGTAACACATTAAAAGGATCATACACTATGATCAATAGGGGTTTATCCCAGGAATGCAAGGATTCTTCAATATATGCAAATCAATCAATGTGATACACCATATTAACAAACTGAAGAATAAAAATCATATGATCATCTCAGTAGATGCAGAAAAAGCTTCTGACAAAATTCACACCCATTTATGATAAAAACTCTCCAGAAAGTGGGCATAGAGGGAATCTACCTCAACATAATAAAGGCCACATATGACAAACCCACAGCAAACATCATTCTCAATGGTGAAAAACTGAAAGCATTTCCTCTCAGATCAGGAAAAAGACAAGGATGTCCACTCTCACCACTATTATTCAACATAGTTTTGGAAGTCCTAGCCACGGCAATCAGAGAAGAAAAAGAAATAAAAGGAATACAAATTGGAAAAGAAGAAGTAAAACTGTCACTGTTTGCAGATGACATGATACTATATATAGAGAATCCTAAAGATGCCACCAGAAAACTACTAGAGCTAATCAATGAATTCACTAAAGTTGCAGGATAGAAAGTAAATGCACAGAAATCTCTTGCATTTCTATACATTAGCAACGAAAGATCAGAAAGAGAAATTAAGGAAACAATCCCATTCACCACTGCAACAGAAAGAATAAAATACCTAGGAATAAACCTACCTAAGGAGGTAAAAGGCCTGTACTCAGAAAATTATAAGACACTGATGAAAGGATCAAAGATGGCACAAACAGATGGAAAGATATACCATGTTCTAGGATTGGAAAAATCAATACTGTGAAAATGACTATACTACCCAAATCAATCTACAGATTCAATGCAATCCCTATCAAATTCCCAATGACATTTTTTACAGAATTAGAACAAAAATCTTTAAATTTGTATGGAGACACAAAAGACCCTGAATAGCCAAAGCAGTCTTGGGGAAAAAAACAGAGCTGGAGGAATCAGACTCTCTGACTTCACACTATACTACAAAGCTATAGTAATCAAGACAATATGAATACTGATACAAAAACAGAAATACAGATCCATGGAACAGGATAGAAAGCCCAGAGTTAAACCTACTCACCTATGGTCAACTAATCTATGACAAAGGAGGCAAGGATATACAATGGAGAAAAGACAGCCTCTTCAATAAATGGTGCTGGGAAAACTGGACAGCTACATGTAAAAGAATGAAATTAGAACACTCCCTAACACCATACACAAAAATAAACTCAAAATGGATTCAAGACCTAAATGTAAGACCAGACACTATAAAACTCTTAGAGGAAAACAAAGGAAGAACATTCTATGACATAAATCACAGCAAGATCCTTTTTGACCACCTCTTAGAGTAATGGAAATAAAAACAATAATAAACAAATAGGACCTAATGAAACTTAAAAGCTTTTGCATAGCAAAGGAAACTATAAACAAGACAAAAAGACAACCCTCAGAATGGGAGAAAATATTTGCAAGAGAATCAACGGTCAAAGAGTTAGTCTTCAAAATATATAAACAGCTCATGCAGCTCCATGTTAAAAAAACAAACAACCCAATCCAAAAATGGGCAGAAGACCTAAATAGACATTTCTCCAAAGAAGACATACAGATGGCCAAGAGGCACATGAAAAGCTGCTCAACATCACTAATTATTAGAGAAATACAAATCAAACTACAATGAGATATCACCTCATACCGGTTAGAACGGACATCGTCAGAAAATCTACAAACAACAAATGCTGGAGAGGGTGTGGAGAAAAGGGAACCCTCTTGCACTGTTGGTGGGAATGTAAACTGATACAGCCACTATAGAGAAGAGTAAAAAACTAAAAATAGAGTTACCATATGATCCAGCAATCCCACTACTGGGCATATACCCAGAGAAAACCGTAATTCAAAAAAGCATATGTACCCCAATGTTCATTGCAGCACTGTTTACAATAGCCAGGTCATGGAAGCAACCTAAATGCCCATCGACAGATGAATGGATGAAGAAGATGTGGTACAT